ATTCCTGACAAGACTAATATGCTTCTATTATGTTCTGAGTTATGACACCTCTTTCATTTCTCAGCTCAAAGACCTGCTTTTCATGGTACATCTGTATTAAAGTAACTGGTTTTCACAATTACTGCTCTTAAGGGTTTTTCATAAGGTGTGTTGATAATGAGTTTCAATACACATCTTAAGCTCCACCATACTTAAAAGTTGCTCAGTTGTGCTGAGCATCTATATACTTGGATAGATCGTTTTGTTCTTAGATGCAGGGTGGATTCTTAAATGGTTACAGCCCATGCAGAGCACTTCTGCACCATGAGCTCAATTCCTCCAAACTGCAGGAGCCAGCCATGAGACTTCCTTTTACCTCACTCATTTGTCCTCCCTCTCTTGCTGGTCCACTGTGTAGTCTTGTACATAAAGCTGTTGCTGATAAAGCCAAACACCAATAACCGACAGGTTGTTCCTTTATTGCAGGGCGAAGACAGCACTCCAGCAGTATCTTGCATGATCAAAGACTGATTCTATGGACACCCCTCATGTCTACTTAAGGAATAGCAGGAGATATTCCTGACTCCTTATATTTGCACAAGTCACCTTGGGCTGCGTTTTTCTCAGGTGCAGGGAGCTGCTTTGCAGAAACAGTTTAAATGATCAGGTCTCCAGTGCACTTGAGAATTTTCTTGAGGTAGTTTCTTTACTCAGAGGACTCTTGGGGGGTTGTTTTGGGGTTTTGGGTTTTGGTTTTTTTTTTTTTCCTGAGCTACCTGGACTTTCGGATAGAACAATCAGTCATCACTTTCCTTTTGGGCCTACAATTTTCTGCTTTTGCTGCAGCCTGTGTGTGTGGATGTGTGTGGATGTGCCTGAGTGTGTGCTTGGGTGAATGTGTGCGAGTGTGAGACCTGTTTTGTTTTTCCTTTTTTTTTGTGTGTGTGTGAAAATCTTTTTCTACAGGTTTTCAAGGATTAACCATTGTTTTGCTGTACGAATACTTCAATGAATTATATACAGTTTGAATGAAATGTTATTTAAAAAGAAAAACCAAACTGTTGTATCCCATAAAGTTTATTTTGAATTTTGAACAGATGAATGTTTTTAAGTAAAATATATATGCATTTCTGAACTTCAGCTTAACTTACGTTATACTTCCTTTTTAAAGAGAAAAGTAGAGTGAGACAGTAGACCCTAAATTATAAGCAGCGCATTCTGTACTGATGAGGTCCAAGAGGTTGTTACCACCATACAAGGTCACCTGGTACTGATGACATGCTCAAATCCATGGAATGGGTGAATTGGGTTGTTTTGGGTTTCTTTGGTTTTTAGAAGAAAAGCTCATACTTCAGAGTTAGCATGGCTGTTGACTTGTCTAGAAAGGAACAGGTGGCTGCAATACCAGCAGGCATAAGCTATTGCTTTAGTAGCCAAGAACTTGCTCAGATAATTGCTGAAAGTTTGGCTTATTTCACTGGTGATAAGTTTTTGCTAATCACCAATATCAATAGAACAAACACTATATTGCAGAAGTTGTACTTTCAAGAGACCAGAAGGAGCTGGCAAGCAGTGATTAAGGGATTGCTTTTGTTCTGCATCCTTTCCCACCAGACACAGTGAAGTGACTTACAGATTATTTCCACGAGAGATCAGCTGGGTGCATTAAGTTGGGGAAGGGATGGAAAAATTGAGTTTGGTGGTTTGGTTTTTGGGGGTTTGGGTTTTGTTTTGTTTTAGTTCAGTAATGTCGCTACAGATTTTCTGTATATATGCAGATTGTACACACTTGCATGGATTTGGATACCTGGATGATAAGTGATGGGATTTTACTGCATTCAGAAGCCTAGATTGTCCATAAGTTCCTGAAATTGTGCCTGTAAGCGTGGAGAAAAAAATTACAACTACAAATGAAGACAACTGTGTAAGGTTAGGCTGGAATATGAGACCCCAGTCAAATATACATAGGAACAAATGAGGGCAGCAAGGAGCTGTCCTTCATGCAGATCAGGGTTCTTACTTTCTTCCTGTGTCTACTTCCTGATTTCAGTTTAGACCATAGTTTTGGTAGTCAGAATCTCCAAGCAGTGTATTTACATAGCACTAATGGGCACACTAAAGATTGCAGCCGATGTCTTAAACCAAATCTTTCCTTTGTTACACTGAACTTCAGGAAGGCTGCAGCAAGAAGAGAGGTCTGTAACTTTGCTAACCAATTTTGATAAGTATCTTAGTCTTTGATTTCTAATCAGAAGGTCACATTGTGATAGCCTTACTTTTTTCCAAGGTAACTACTTGTGTCAGAAAATGTGGCAACAGTTTGGCCTGGAATTTGAATGTGCTATGTATCAGATTACTGTTATCACTTGGTTGCAAAGGAGACTATATACATTTCATGTAACTTCTTCCACCCTTGAAAGACAAATAAAAGTGAGCACCTGACACTTTTTTCCTAGACATTGCAGTAAGTGACTGTCAGTCTTTTAATGTCCTTCTGCAAATTTTTCATGATGGACGATGGGGGCTGAAGAAAAGCAAAAGTAAAAATATGCGAGAACTTGATAAATACCAGTACCTCAGAAGTGAAGTCTTCCTCACAAAAGTCAATCAAATATATTTTTTGCTTGAATTGAGAAAAAAACCTTCGAAGGCAGGTATTGTAAACACAACTGTACAGCATGCATCTGACTTCTGCATTTGCACTCCTGCTATGTACGTTTAGGAGCTCAAGTTTTTAACATATCTCTTCTCATCCTCCCCCAGTTCATGTTTCTAAAAACAAATCTGAGTTTGATTCTATAACACTTCGGTGCCTAAAGGTGTTCGGAAAAAGGTGAGTAAGTATCTGTGTACACGTTTCAAGGTGGTTTCCTAAAATTCTACCAGAAAAAGTAAAAACCAATGCTCAGACAATCTTGTTGCTGCATGAGAACAGTTGGCATTTTCCACAGATATTGGTAGGACAAACTGTTGGATGAGAACGTTTTTACATTCAGTTAAGCTTTGTGAATAATTTTTGATGTTGCTATAGGTATGTACAAAAAGAAGAATACTGTAAATAAAAATAACTTTACCAGAACATCTAGATTTTTCTCAGCTTCATGAAGAAACCTTAGCTTTCTCTGCCAGCTTCTCTGCAGACTGACAGTTGCTAGCCTGAGATTCACAGTGGGAACAGACTTGTTTGCTGGTCAGCCAGAGCTTTACCAACTTCATTTAAGTGACAGCATCTTGTGAGTTACTTGTGTGTTTGCTTGCAGAACCAAAACAAAGTTCTTCAAAGTTGACATAATACAAATCACCAGGATTTCTGCTGTTCTTGTGCCATTTCTTTCTGAAAAGCAGTCTTAATTTTGATAAGTATGTCCACTCTTTATATCGGGCTCCAGCAATGGTAGTGCTTCTCTCAAAGGTTACCTGTGTTACAGAAATGGATAGTTCTGCCTGGAGTTTGGCATGCTGGTTGTCAGAGTAGTGGTCTCTCCCACTCAGAAAGTCAAATGAGACTTACTGGCTGTTGTTCCTATCACAGGTTTGCGTTTTAGTAACGAAAGAAGCCAAGTGATCTGCTTAAAAGCATATTGTGCCAATATATTCTTAAGGAAAATATCTCATTTTTTTTTAAAACTTGTTTTTACAGACTTTAACCTGCAGATCTAATTGCAGTAGTTGCTGGACCTCTATGAAACTGCTGAAGCAGTGACAGAACAGGCAGAGGAATAATTGAGGTGAATGAGAGTAGATTCTTGAAGACCAGAAAATGAGTTTAACAGGGACTGTCTGGTAATCCTGAAGTGTAAGCACATGATAAGTGTAAACATGCAAAATTTCAGTGGTGGTTAAAATCATCTGGACTTTACTGAAGGCTTATTTCTACAAAAAGACAGATGCTGGGTGGACATCCAGGGTGCAGTTTACTCTGCTGAGCTGGTGCTGGAGGCAGGGTAGGCCCAGCAAAGGCTCAGCCCTGCTATATCCCCTGCAGGTACTGGACAGTGTCCCCTTAGGTTGCCAGGGGCATTGGGGAGTTGACATGCCAAAAGCCAAATCCTCAAGCGGGAGGGACCTTGGGCAACTGGAGGACCAGGCTACCAGACATGATGTGCTGCATGACAAGCAGCGCCTCCAGGGTCTGTATCTGAAGCCCAGTGACCCCAGGCATGTGAAGGGACAAGTTGAGCAGCAGCCGTGCTCAACAGGACATTGCCCTGGGGGGTGCTGGGCACAGGCACTGGCCTCTCACTGCAAGTAAGAGTAAAACCAACCAGCCTTCAAAAACTGAGCTGCCTTTGGAGTGGGGCCAGCAGCTCATCCCCTCTGCTGGGTGCTGGGGAGGGCTGTGGGGAGCTGGGCAGGTTTGACAGGCAAAGGTGAGGCAGGGGCTCCAACTGCAGCTGCTGCTGTGTGAATGGGAATTGCAGAGAAGACTGAGCTGAACTTCCTGTCTGCAGCGGACATGGAGAAGGGAGCGGGGCGGGCTGGGCTCTCCTTGGCTTCCACTCCCCCCTCACGTTGCCAGGGCTGCCATAGCAGCGTTGGGGTGCTGCCATAGCAGCGTTGGGGTGCTGCCAGCTGCTGCACAGGTACTGATGGGCCCTGTGTGGGGAAGGCTGCTGGAAGCAAGCAGCAATTTAGGCCCAGTAGCAGCACCCTGCCTGTATGTAAAGGGTGTGAGCAAAGCTGCGTCCAGGGTTTGGGCACTGCTGAGACAACCCTGTTCCCTTCCAACAGGGCAGGGTTGTCAGGCTGTATGTGCTGGGGTGGAGGAGCAAAGACGTGTAAAAAGCTTTCTCTGTGGTGCAGATTGGTCAGCAGTTGGATTCACATAATTAGAGGACATCTGCAGTATTTTGTGCTTGGGACCGCTGCTCAGAGGACCCTTCTTCCTGCAGAAGGATGGCTGCGAAGAAAAAGGAGGTAGTATTGCAGGTCAGTAGGAGCCGGGCTTTTAAAATACCTTTTAAACTCATAGTAAGTGCAAAGGATGAAGTTCAGTATTGGGGTATTTCAGATTCTGCTGGCAAAGCCGTACTGTGAGGTGTTTGGGGTAGAAAAGCCTTCCTGAAGGCAAGTAGGAAGTATGGGAAAACATGGCAAGTCAAGCCTGTCCCCCAAGGTCAGTGCTATGGGCTGCAGGTTGTGTTCCAGAGATGTTGAGAGCTGGCACGGGTTTGGCTGCTTTCATAGATCAAAATGCATCTGCATTTCATGGGACAATATTTCCGATGCCATTCAGAAGCAGGGAACTGCAGGAGGGAGTGCTTCTCTGGAAGAGCAAGCGTCACTGAATATCTGACCAGTTCGCATATTTAGAAAAATCACTGTAAAGGAGGAAAAGTGAGGAGGTACAAGAATTCAAGGGCTGAAAAACCTATTTCATGATGATGAGTAGAGGAGTTTTTCCCTGTTTACACTGCACAAGAGACCTAATGATGCGTTATAATTACCTGCATAGGGGGGAGAGTGTTTCTGAGAGCAGTTTCATATGCAAAATCAGAAAAAACAAAAGTAGGTATGCAGATCTCTTTCAATTTTGAAATAAAGTTCAGTCTTCACAAGAAAGACATGGAAGGAGATGATGGTCTCTATAACCTTGTTTATTCACTGTTAAAACTGGAAAGCATGGAGTGCAAATGTGAACGTTTCTATAAGAAAAAGGATCACTTTATTAAGGTAAAACTGCTTTCTCCTGCTGTTTGTCCAGCTGTGTTCCTGTGCCATGAGGAAAATGACATTAAGCAGCCTTTGCACCTTTGGCAACTAAGGGAAAGCTGGGTTTAGATTTGCAAAAATGTGATTGTTTGTATCTGCAGATGACAGCTGAACCTTGTGTAAGACATAATGTGATGTCCTGGAAAGGTTCTGATTGTACTAGAGAAGAGCCAAGTCCTAGCAGCCTCAGGGCATCCAGTTTAGCAAAGCACTTTGAAGGGTGCCTCAGTCTATCACTTGAACTCAGGCTTTAACTCGTTATCACAAATTGTTATCTGAAATCATTTGAATTCATTAATGTTCTGTGAAACACTCTGAGGGTGGTCTCAGCACTAGAGATAACTGGAATCATTGAATTTCTTAATCCTGCAGGTGTTCTCTGAATAAAAGTAGGCTTGGGGTCACATGCTAGAGAGGAGAACAGATG